GTCGCAAGCAGCCATCATGTTCTTGGCATCGAACATCTGCTGTGTCAACTCTGGGACGGTGAGCGCACGGTATTGCTGGCTACCACGGCTGGTCAATGGTGCGAAACCAGGCATGAAGAAATGCAGACGTGGGAATGGAACCATGTTGACAGCCAATTTTCGCAAATCGGCATTCAGTTGACCAGGGAACCTCAAACAAGTGGTGACGCCGCTCATGGTAGCAGATACAAGATGGTTCAAGTCACCGTATGTTGGTGTGGTTAGCTTTAATGTACGGAAACAGATATCATAAAGGGCTTCATTGTCAATACAGCTGTCTCTTATACACATCAAACCCAGGCCTAACTAAAAAATTAAAATTGTCATAGTATGTAACTCAAGTTCAAATAACACTTTTCATTACTCGTGCAGCTTAATCAAATATTATATGTCATTTTAAACGACCCATTGGTATTAACACGGTAACATCGATGTATTTTTAAAAAATAGACAGCGACGTTCTCTCAGAAGTTGTTTTGTAGACGTTTATCTGTTGATGACCTTTTGACCTCCTGAATTCTGCAATGAGATTTTCGGGTCGATTCAGCCGAGACGGCCCGAGTGGAGTTTCATGTAAATGTTTCGTACGGGAAAAAAAATCGCAACCGGGAAACACAAAATTACGTCGGCCGTGTAAGACGTCATTAACAAGCTGCCATTAGCTCAAAATGGCGATCTTCAATTGTTGTAAAATTAACGTTCAAATTTTATTTTCTCAGAAACAGTATATGTTACATGTTGATGCAATGTACTGAATGATTGATCAAATAAGCTAGTTTACACCAGTTAAGTAATATATTTGGATAGGCTATCCCTTTAATTGCATTACAAACAATTTGTTTAATTTCTTTCCAAAAATAAAATTAAAACTCATCGGTAAGTCTCCACATCCTATGGCTTTATTTAACTTCATTTTTTGTATTGCCTCATTACATTCTTCTAGTCACGATGTCTTCACATACACCTTTTTTTCCTCAGATAAACAGTTTACTTATACTTTATCTATGTAGATGTTTATTTCCTTAAGGGGGTATCCCCTTATTTGTATATAGATGTTTATAAAATTTGACTTCCTCTCGTAGAATTGTATTTGTGTCTGTTAACACAGCACCATCTGAGTTTTGTATACCTTTGATATGTTGTTTCGTTCCGTTCCGTTCTTTTTTTCTAAACTGAGAAAAATATTTGGTGCTACGTTTGCCTTCCATATTTTTCAGTATTTTTGTTTTTTATTCAATTTCTTCCTCAATGCTTTCATTTGAATTACTAACATTGTTTCCAAGTGAATCATTTAGCTGTTTTATTTGGTTGTGTAGTTTCACATTTTCTTAGTTTATTTTTCTTTAAATTTTGCCATGAAAATAGAAACTTCTTTTAATCTCTGACTTTTAGTAATTCCCAAAGTAAATATGGGCTAAGAGGGGTTTTTTTGTTATTGTTTTGAGTTTTAATAATAACATTTCTAATAGCACTTTGATAAGCAGTGTTGAAAAATAAGTTATTATTATATTTCCAATATCCTGGACCCCTTTTAGAATTATCAAACCCAATTTTAATTGAGATTGCCTGATGTTCAGTCAGGATGGCTGGTCTTATATCACAGGATATAACTTCATTATGGCCATGAATGTTTTTTTTAAATCAACCAGTAGTCAAGTCTTCTATAAATTTGGCATCATCTCCTACGCCAGTTAAATAGGGTATTTTGAGGGTTTTTACATCTCCAGGCATATTTAATCGTGAGTTTTTTTCATAATTTGTGTGAAGACAGATGCATCTTTTCTGTCTAAACTATTCTTTTGATCCCAATTTGCTATCGAGGATACAATTTACATCCCTACTGATGAAAATTATATTCATATTTGAGGTTTACCATATTTTAAACAGTCTTATTTAACTCTCTGAAATATGTTCTTCTCACTTTACAATTGTTAGGAGCATATATACATTTACAAGAACATATTTTACTATTTATTTCAACTTTTAGTATAATGTATCTTCCATTCTTATCAATACACTCATTTCTTTTTTTTTAAATTTTAAATCTTTTTTTTTAAATAAAATGTATACTCCCACATTATTTGTGCTATGCGTACAAATACCATTTCATAATAAATAAATTTGTTTGAATAATTCAGACTTGTAGATATATGACATCAGCTTTCTGATCTTTACACCACTTCAGTGTCTGTCTTTGTTTATGCTACGTACATCTCTTACGTTTAAGGAAACGAGAAATGAATGTTGGCGTTATTGATACGGTCGGATGTGTGTGTGTGTGTTTTTTTTTTAAAGAAAAATACAGATTGCATTAATCATTGACGTACGTAAACATCAAACGGCTAACTTTACTGACACAACTAATTATTGAACATGCCATAGCATTTTAACAAATGCTGTTATAAGGATACTAGCCATAATGTTGATAAAAATGTCATACTATATACACATCACATAATACATACACATAAATACATGCATCTATATGATGATATCTATAATAACGAAAAGGACAATATTTGCAGTATGTTAAAAATGATGACAAAGACATCATCTTTAGGGCAACCAGTAAAAGTGAGCATTGTATTGGATTGGTAATGATAATATTAACGATTATATTACAGCAATGGTAAATTTATCACTTAAGGCATAAATCGAATGTGTTTTGTTTGTTTATTTTGTTTTTATTTTTCTTTCCTTTTTTACAAATTATTTGGTTTTTCTGTTTTTCTTACTTTTGCTTGATTTTCGTCGACTTTCGTTCCAGACATTGTTGGGGAGATTTTTTTCTGACTCCGCTTGGTCTTTGGATTCATTCTTGTTATTTTCTTTCTCTTTCACTTGCTTATTAAACCAAGATGATGATTTGATGAAGCTTGTTATCTTCTTTTGTTTCTGTTGGCCAGGTTCTAATTTATTGGTTCACTTTGCTTTTGATCGTCTTCTTCACTATCCTCGCTTTCGCTGGATGGTGATTCATCTTCATTGTGACTACGCTCTTTTCCTCTACGACACGTTCCAACTTCTCTTGTATGATCTTTCCGCTTGAGTCATCTTGCAACAGTTTGTCTGCGCTGCATTGGTCCATTTGATGACCTTATAACCAATAGGCAATGTAAACGGGCTGGCATGAACATGTTTTAGCATTATGTCCGTACTTCAAACATTTCCTGCACTTCACTCTCTTATTCTGTTTTTTTTTAAGTTTAAGACATTTATAAACCTTTATAATGGTGTTTTAAGTGTCTCCGCGTAAAGCACCCGATCTCCATTCAGGCAACTTGTCAATTGCCCATCGACTTTCAGCCTCATACGTTGTACGGTCCCCTAAAACGCATAAGAGATGTTTTAATTTCTTCGTATGCTACCGATAGTGGTAGGTCTACAGCAATACGGGTAGCACCGTATCGTACGGTAGGTAAGAGTTCCTATTATATATTGGCACATTCCTTCCTCGGATGTTTGCACCAGTTGTTATTAGGCAAACTCTGTCTTGATGTGAGTCTATGTAAAGTCTCCATAAATTCTTAATGCGCTGTATATATGTTATATTTCGGCATTCAACAGTTTTCATTGAAGTTATCCTGAGGTTCCACATACGAATCTCCTGTTGTGTTCACTTCATCAACCTTCATAAACACTGGTTTCACCTTATTAGAAACGTCACAGGTACGTACCCGCGTCTGGGGTCACATGATCTTCAGGCGGGACGTTTGAGCTGTCATCGTTGTCATTTCGTTGGGAATTCTTACTATTTTCACAAGAAATAAAAGTACGTTTTACCTTGACTTTCCTTGAGAATACTAAAATAATTTGTATAATTTTCGCTGTAAAATTTCAAGCGTAATCTAAGATTTTATTGAAAATTTTAAGGAGCTGATAAACAGAACGTCCCCTTAGAGAAAGTATATACCGCCCTCTTTCAACAAATACATTTGTTAATATTAATTGACTTGCGTGTGCATGTTTGGGCAAAACAAACACAGCCACTTAATGAAATATCCTATCCAATAAGAAAAGACCAATATTCTGAATTACACAAATGGAATGGTACCCATCTTTAGAAAATGTGACCCTACATTACAAAAATAAAGAGAAAAGCTTATTGATTAATTTATTTATAAATAGATAAGAAGATAAAAAGCAATGACAATATTTTTATATTCTAAGACCCGATTTATTTTTTAATTAGACAAATGTTAAACTGTTTTATACGTTTGGGGTCAAAGTTTAAGATGATATTTTCTTGTCTTTGCTTGTGATATTTTGAAAAAAGGTAAGCTGAACTAGTATACTGTATTTGCCGAAATTGTATGCTCCACATCGGAATCACCAATCTGTTTTTATTAATGTAAGAGTTTCGTTCTTTTTTTTTAATCCACCAGTTGCACCGATATAAGAAGCTTTACAGCTTTCGCAAGTAAATGTGCATGCTACGCCCGAACGAACACCAACGGAAAGAGAGTACATAATTGAAAACAGACATTGATTTTTAAATGATGTAAAAAATAACTTTTTAAATCAATTTTAAATAAATGGTATAAAATATGCTAACTTAAAATAACGATTGTTAGTTTTGAGGCCATTATTTGATTTATACCGTCTAATTGAAAACACAGACACTAGATATTTTGAAATAATGTTGTCAATTTTTTGTCAGTAAACAAACAGGAAAAACGATGATGCGGCAAGTGAAGAAGTTAGAGAGAATTACGATGCACAATTCTGACTTCAATAAAAACTGTTTGTTTGTTTGTTTGTTTGTTTTTATTTCATGCTTAAAAATCATGAAGAGTACATTCGAAAAAAGAGAGTAAATAAATAAGAATAAATCATATTGATATTTAGCTTTGGATCACCAAATGGTGTCCGTGCTAGCACGTGTGTACTGTGTTTAGATCAGAGAACAGTGAAATTTCACTGTTCACTGTTTTAGATACTTAATCATTAATTTTGATAGCACAAAGTGTTCTAATAACTTGTAATAATTTGTAACTTTACTGCACAGTATATAATAATCTCTTTTTTCTAAACACTACGATTTTTTTGACAATAATACTAATCTTTTAGTATCAATAAGCTCTTGCAAAAAACTATTGTTTTCTAACATGCATTATTAACGTAGAATTGACATAACGTAAATTATTACATGTTTAATTATTAATCTAATTCTAGGCATTTTACTGTTTATTATCATTCTTCTAAATAATCATCTCTGCTATAAATAATATACACTTTTATCGTAATATCTCCACCAATAATTGTTTTACAACTTTCTTCTTATATTTCAATTTTAGGAATTTTTCATAGCCAATAAAAACATTATTTTTCATTAGTACTTCAGATACAATCTGGAACAAACGAAAAGTAAATCAACACATACAGTACAACTAAATTAAAAAAAAAAGAAAAAAAAAAAAAAAAAAAATCATGGAGCCAAACCACTAAAGGAAATAGAAAAGGAAATCAACCCGATACGGCTTTACAGACGCATAATAGGCCAGCCTCTGCTTATAAAAGAAATATAATAATTTGCTGTCTTGTCTCAATTGTTTTTGTTGTGTGCGAAAAAAAAACATAAAATTGGGTATAAATATTGTTAACGATTTCTGTAAAGTATCGGGTATGTGTCTTAATAAAGCAAAAACGAATGCAATATGGATTGGTAAAAATAAAAATAAAACTGATAAACCAGGGAACTTAATTTGGGTTAATGAACCAGACAGGATTTTAGGAATATATGTGGGGTACAATAACAAAACCAAAAAATGCAATGAACTTAATTGGGACTGCAAGCTGAAGAAGTTAGAAAGATTTCTTAGTACTTGGAAGGGTAGAGATCTTACTTTTTTGGCAAAGTCACTGTATTAAATAGTCTTGCTATGTTTCCACTTACTTATAATGCGTCAATAGTTGATGTACCCAATGACGTTATTTTAAAGGTAAATAAGCTTACATATGATTTTATATGGAAGGGAAAAAAAAGAAAAAATTAAAAGAAAAACGTTAATTGGTAAAGTAAATGAAGGAGGCATAAATATGCCGGATGTCTTACTACATATCAAGGCTTTTAAAATTGCGTGGGCACGAAGACTTCTTTCTAGAAAACATGTGAGGTGGAAGTTATTACCATTGTACTACATAAATAAAATTGGTAATGAAAGATTAGTTTTAGGTTTGTCAAGTTTTAACATAAAACAATGTGAGATCTTCAAACGTATACCTTCCTTTTATATTAATGTCATTGAATGCTGTATTGAATTTAATAAAAAAAATAGCGACAATGTAGTTAATACTTATGAAGAAATTGTTAGACAAAACCTATGAGGAAATAAGGAAATTAAATGTAATAACACATCATTGTTTTTTAAGAATTGGATCTTGCCAGGTTTTAATCAAATCAAAGACGTTGTTAATTTTAATTGTTTAATGAACCCGACGGAAATAATTGAAAAAAACATGTATAAAAAGGAATTGGCTTAGTGAATATGCTACACTTTTTGAATCTATACCAAATGTTTGGTTAAACATAATTAAACAACATAATCATCAACATGACAATCATATTACAGGTGACTGTACCATAATTAAAAACATATTGAGAATGAAAACAAAGCAAATTTATTCAAAGTTTATCAATAGTAAATTTATTCAACCTCAAAGTATACATAAATGGGAAAATATATTCAATGAGGAAATTAGTTGGAATGTGGTTTGGACACGTAAAGTAAAAAAATGAAAAAATAGAAAATTTGCACAGCTTAATTATAAATTACTGAATAGAGTTGTTCCTACAAATATACGCTTATGTAAATGGAATCTGAAAATGAGCAACAAATGTAATAACTGTGATGCTATTGAAAATGAAAAACATATGTTTTATGAATGTTCTCGAAACGAAATGTTATGGAAAAAAGGTAGATAACATACTCCAAAAAAAATGGGCAAAAGTAAAAGTTCATTTAAAGAACTTTTATTGGGGTGCGAGTGTTACTTTAAAAATCAGATATATTCAATTGCGGTTTATTCTATTTACAAAATCCAAATTTTAACTGAGTTAAAAAAGCCAATAAGTGCAAATCCTTGGATTGTGTTTAGAGCAATTGTTAAAGACATGAACAACCTAGGCTTACTGTAAATGTTCACTAAATAATAATTTTATTTTATTTATTTATTTTTTTATTTATATTTATTTTTATTTTATATTATTTATTTATTTATTTTTATTTTTATTTATTTTTTTAATTTTTTTTTTAAATTTAAATTTTTTTTATGAACTGGACCTATTAATATTACTATTGTTACTCCATTATTAGTTACTTTCAAAGTATAAAATAATAAGCAATAACAAATTACTGATAGTCCATACAAACTATGAGATGAAAATGACGTTGTGCAGTATGTTTTTTTTAATTTTATTTAAAAAAAAATAAATAAAATAACTGATAACTCAACGTGTTATGAGTAAACTTACATCGCATTAGCGTACAATGATGAAAAGTAATATATTTTTATATAAAAATGAAAAAGGGTGGAAAAAATGAAGGTATATACTGGTCAAATAAAATCTATATTAATAATGGTTACAATTGGTTAATGCCTAAACATTGAAATCATGTTAATATCATAGAATTATGCTTAAATTTATTTTTTAATTTTTCATATAACATATATTGATCAACCTAATTTGCATATTTTATTGTATATATAAGAATCAAGAGAAGTTTAAAAAATAAGAAAATAAAAAAAAGGTGAAATATCAAAAAGGCTGAAATGCAGAATGTCTGTAATTAAAATAACTTGATGTATTGATGAATAAAAGTGGTGGTTGTTATACCACAAAAGAGAAAAAAAATATATTTTTTATACCATCTCTTATCTTTCGGGTCAACGTTTAAGATTACAGTTTATCTAGATACATTTAGCAAAATAAACAGGAGTGTGCTGAACAAGCACACTATATTTCCCGAATGTACACTCCACATCAGAATTACCGATATATTTTATTAATGTTAGCATTTCGTTATGTTTAATATTGAATAAAAACATCGAACAAAATGAAAAGGAAGGAATAAAATCTGCTAAGAG